GATGAGGATCTGACTGCAAAGGCAAAATGGTCCCTGGGTACTAATGCTAGGGATCCATTCAGGCCATGGGTCAACAGTTTGATGTGTTAAACTTCTGTTCCCTTTAGAACAGAGACACCTGTGATCTGTGACTCTGCAGGAACCTGTACCAGGGCTCCGGGAAGGACATCTGACAGCTAAACCTATGAGTTTGTACTCATCACCCTCAGCACCTCTGGTGGACGAGACACCTCATCCTGATGGCAGCACTGGAGTTCAATTAGCCAAATGCACATCCTTGGGTGCCCAACCCTCTGCAGTGACTATGAAGGGAACCTTGACGAATTTAGACTCAGACCTCTAACACAGATATCTAAAAGTCCAGTGAAAAAAATAATGAGGGTCTGGCTGTACTATTGGTGCAAAGAGTGGGGCAGGGAGAACAGAGGTCAGAAGAAAAGTTGATGACGTGAACTCAGACTGCCAGTATGGCGGGATGCTACTTGTCTGCACGCTGCATTCCCTGTGGCCAGGGCCAGGGAGGATTCCTGCTTTAGGTCACATTTTGGTGTTAAGATCTTCCAGCCCTCTGGTTTCATTTGATCTACTTCATAACTGCAAGATCTAACTCGTGAAACTAGCAAATGATACGACGTTACCATCGTATGTACAATGCAGTATATATATTAAATATATCTGCAACTACAATCATATGGATACATAGAAATATGAAGACCTTGATGTCAAAAATATTTTAGTAAGATGATTTAATGACTCATCATCTATGGAAATAATTCTCTACATTCTCATCTACCAGGACATTCTTCTGTTTTATATAGTAATTGCAGACAATCACTGTCCCCTCTGTTCACTGCCATTAATTCTCCTTCAGTCTAAATTAAAACTGCTTCAAATGTTTCTTTAATGTCCCCCAGTTATATTGTACAGCCTCTATATGGCTTTCCTCTTACAGGTTAGTTATAGCCTAGACAACATGATCTTCTAACCTTGATCCATCACCCAATTCTTTATGGGTCGATGGAGGAGTGTGCACAGAGACCGAGATCTGAGATTTCACAGACAAAAGGGATCTAAACAGGCCTAAATCAGCATATCTTAAGTCAGAACATCTTTCTCTTCTCAGAGATGTACCTTTCAACTACTTCAATCTTAATCAACAGGCAGTTGTTTGCTCTGACATCTCTCCTTCTGGTAGGTTTTCTGTTTTGATGAATGTGGGAAAGCCATCTGTCATACTGTCCTAAAACTGACCTGGGATACACAGGACAAAGCTTCGAAGTTTCCCTGTGAGACTTCGCCCACGCTCACTGGATGTGGGATTACTATGTGTCAGTGTCTCAAAGGCGCTCATCTGTGTTTCTGCCACTTGGCAGGTGAATGCCCATTTGCCAACTGGTGGTAGCCAACTGTCTACAGATAACTAGCCACTGCTGTGCAAAATAAATGTGCTGCCTTAGATCCCGTTACGGTGTGAGCCCTGCTAGAAAACAGACCATCAGGGTGACATAGACTAATGCAGGTTTAGCGTGAAGGCAAGCTTAGAGAGCTGACACAGTCAGGTACCACAGAAGTGTCACCCTTCCAGGCCACAGCAATGTTCTCTGTTTGCACTGTGCATCCATTTTTCTGAGGTGAGTAGCTGGTTTAGCATGCTTTGCTTTTTCCCCTCCAGTATCTCAGCACATTTCCCACTACATTTGCATTACAATACAAGGAAAATAAAATGTAAACTCCTTATAGGCAGGTAGGAAACAACCGCTGAGATACTTGCCTGAATTCTGCTGTTGCAAATTCCTACCAAAAGCAAATGCTATTCATACAACAAAGGGCTGAGCCGGGACAGACTGCGAGGTCTCCGAGCTAGCCCAATAATACAATTCCTAGTGAGCTCCTCTGTACCAATCTGTCAGAAAATAGAAGCAGTGTGAGAATGGCATAGAAACCCCCTCCATCTTTAACATTTTGTCTTAATTTTCAAGCATTAGGGTATATACCCAGAATGCCTGGCAGTTGGCACTTGGTCATATGGTTGTCGCAGCAACATAAAGAAACATCGCATGTGTCACCAAACCTCTAGAGCTAACTGTCAAATAGACAAGGATAGCCTGAGCTCCTACAGAACATGGGGAGTTTTACCTGAGCAAAAACTGAACACAGGTTAAACCAACGAGATAGGTAGCTGCTCCCAGAAGGCAGATAAACAACACCTGGCATGATTCTGGGATGCTGCACCATCTCCATCTCTGGCCCAAATTCAGCAAAGTACCTTTTCAGAATAGCATCTTAAATTTAGCTCACTCTGCAGGGAGTCTCACTCAGCCCTGGGATATACCTACTGAAAGTCATATTATAATATTTAATATTTATGTTAAAGAATCAGAAGCCTCTGATTTAGGCCTGAAAACTTAAAATACCTCAAGTGCATTTAAAACAACAGCAGTGTAGGTGTCGTTATTTACTGTTTAAATATCTGTCAAGTGCTGGCAATGTTCTCAAAAGATGAATCAGGACAGAGCTATTCTATTTCCAGTGGAAATGCCTGAACCTCATTTAATCTGTTTCAGTTTTTGACCTGTCAGAACCCATATGGGATGAAGCACTGAATGAATTATAGAGCAACAGCAACTTCTACTGTGCCCTAATTATTGAATAAAGTAAGCATTTGCACAGTCCAGACTCAAGTGAAATGTCTTTGCTACACAGAACAGCAAGTTCAGTGCATGCTTTTCTCCAGCATTGCTGCTACGATATTAGCCAACTGTGACCTGAAAGTGAAAACAGCTATAAACACCTATGAATCATCTTCTTAGATGATTTTTATCCAAGTTTAGACAGGTAACCTGGATTGTTAAGCTCTTTTTACCTTACTATCCTGTGGTTAAAGCAGAATTGAGGTAAGGAAATGTACATGAGTTGGTTTTAAAGTTGGTTAAAGTTAAACCTTGTTCCTATAAAAAGCTGGATTCTGCAGGCAGTGGAAAAAATATACTCTGTTTACTCTTGCCATTAATGTTCTGAAAAGGCATTTTTGTGACATAAAACCGATTTTCACCCCTGTGAAAATCACCTTTTGCAGGATGGCAGCAATAACGCTTACATCTGTTGGACACCACCTCATGAAACGTGGCAAATCAGCGTCATTGGGGGAGCATCCCACTGCTGCCTGCAGCCAGGGTCCCCGACACCCTGGGCTGAAAAACAGAAAGGAAACCCTTTTGCATCAGGTTAAAGATCAAAACAGAACATTTTGTTTTGCCATTTTAAAAGAGCTTACTTGGATGTTTTGTCTGAAAGAATGAATCAATGGATGTTTCAACTCTGGAAGCCAATTTGGAACAAAAGGCAATGTAAAAACACGAAGCTGTCCCAGGGGCCTCACAAAGCCCATTTGCATCTTGTCTGTATACTCTGTAGAAGGGAGTCCAACGCCAGCACTTGCCAGCTATTAGCACGTGTTAATGACACTCCTGCTATTGCCAGTTCAGGATGACAACTGGCAGGATTTCTCACAGAGTGGTGGGAGAGGGAGTACTGGCAATCAAGGAGTCATCATACAGAGGCATTTCTCGTCTGGTTGCCGCTAATTAAAGCTTCTCTTGTGGCTCTTTTTAAAAAGCCTCTTTTTGAAACCACCATTTGTGGTAGTCCAAACAGCCAGTGTGGAAGCAGGATGGATCACACAGAGGGTCACTGTGGCCAATGTCCTGCACTGTAACTGTGCCTTCTTTCAAGCCAGTCCTTACCCAGACCAGGATCCCACTGCTGGGACACTGTCTGAATACACAGCCAGGAAAATTACCTGCCTTGAACAAAGCAAGCTAATGACGTCTATAAGCAAGGCATCTCTGGAACCCTAGAGGCTGTAGGAACTAGAAACTGGGAGGCACTAAGTGCAAGGACTCTAAGGTATTTACACCCACTGCATATGAGGCTAAAGGACTGGTCACTATAGTTATGCACAACCCTATATGCAAGGCTGTCCAACCCCCTAGGGAAGACAGGAACATCTCTGTGCAGAGATGCCCAGTCAGCAGATCTAGCCCATATACTGTGTGATGCTGAGGCGTGGGAAACCATGAGGCAGTGCCAGTCACCAGTGTGACCTCTGGAGCTCCAGGTGTGCAGGTGTGCCCTCTCCAGCCCTCTGGGCATGCTCCAGGATCTGAATCCAAGCGAGCCTTCAACCATCTCACCTGAACAGCAGCTGATGCTTGGTTTAGCTTCTGGAAACAGAAGCACAACCTCACCTTGGGGGAATTCTCATGACAGCCCTCGCTGTGATTTCCTCAGTTGGTACAGAGAGACTCACACACCCCTTCGCAAGAGTCGTGGGAAAATGCTCATCTCTTGCACTGCACAACACAGCCCGTTTTGAGCCAGCAATGCTAGAGATACAGCTTATCACACAGAGTGTTCTCACACAGCACACCACATAACCTTGTGCCTTATTTGCATTTTGCATGAAAAGAGCAAGCAACATTAAGTTCAATCAGAAATGAAAGAAGAACCCATTCTAAAAAATGGGGAGATAACAAGAGCCCTGATTCTCCTCTTGGACACGATCGCAGCTCCTCTTACGGCCAAGCAGAGCTGGGAGCGCACAAGACAGGAAGAGGGCTCTTGGAGAACAGAAGAACCTGCTTTAAGGACACAACACAGAGCTACAATAACCAGGGAGAGAGAGAAGTAGAAAGAGACATACTGGAGAAGCTGACCATTGCGAAATGCTGACATCGGTCTCCCGTGAATTCGATCGGACACCTACCGGAAGAAAGAAAACCAGAAAGAGAGAAACAAGATAGCAAAATGACACCCAAACAGACTGAACTAGGCCCCTTCTGATCCCTTTCATGGCTCCTATCCGTCTGCTCTCAGCTTTCACCCTTACCTGCATCCCTAAGCCCTAGCCAAAGAGCCATCCCTGACTAGACCACTCTACATCCACCGCTGTGCCCAGGAGGTTTTAAGTAGTGTGGTGCATTTTTTGTCTTCAAACATACTTTGCTTAGGATCTGGCATGTACAATCGCAAAGGCAGTTTCTCCAAACATCTCTGTCCGAAGAATCCATTTGGACATCTGGAGGGGAAAAGGGGAGAAATCACAGAACATGTCTGGCACCATTCTTGAGGCTAAGGTCAAAAATAAAAAGTGCATTGCGATGAATGGAAAAAATAAAGGCTTTACATGCGTATTTACTCTTTGCTTTGCTTTAACCAGGCACCTGAAACATCAGCATTCCAGCTCTGGTTTTGGCCTGCCTCTTCAAGCAGCCAAGCAAACCCCTCCTTTCCTCCTCTGCCTGCCTCCTTACTTCTCACCTGCTAGAAGCACCAGCTGGCAGGAAGACCTAGATGGGCTGGATGCTACTTTCAGAGACTCCCCTTGGAGCTGCTCTGTAGACAAGAGTGGCAAGAGGCACCACAGAGTGGTGAGCAGCTGCTCAGGTGACAGCAAGCATTGTGCAGGGCAAGCATCTTCCCGTTATTACCCCAAAAGTACCCACAGGATGTTCCAGGGAAAAGGGTTATGTTGCAGTTAGAGAAAAAGCATGGGGAGAGTCTCTGTGTTAACAGAGAGAAAGAGACAGAGAAGAAAGCTGAACCAAACAGGTCTCACATGCAGCCCGACTGCAAGGCTCTTCTGACCAATGTTACATGATGGGCCATGATGTGCCAGCTCATGCATCACCAGTTATACATTAGCATGGTGCTGCAGTGGTAGGGCTGGTGCCCTGTGGATGAGGGCTACCAGATGCGTGCACCAGCTCATGAGTAAGCTCCCTGGAGCAGTTCCCAAGCTGAGCCAGCTTTGGGGAGCATGGGGACATGGGCAGGGGTGCAGGCAGGAGCTGCTGAACCATGCACGGTGCAGCAGTCACAGCTGCGGGTGAACCTGGGAAGCAACAGGGGCTCAGCTGTGGGTGGCCCCGAGGCACTTATCTCTCTCCCTCATTTCACATCTTTTCTTCTGGCCTCCTTGGACAGTCCATCAAAGATATCCCTAGCTTTCTTGAAGTCCCAGCTCTTACCTGTCTGTCCCACAACTCCCTCTCTCCCCAAATGACTTCTCCCCCCTCTGAGCTTAAGATGGTTTATCATTGCACCTAACATCTTAATATCTGTTTTCCAACTTCCCAGGGTAAGCAGGGCTGTAGGCTCTGTGCCTCATACATGCCAGACCTTCCTTGCTCTCAGATGCCACCCGCAAGACCACACAGTGTTCAGCAGACCCCAGCTGGTCCATGGAGAAGGGACTGAAAGACACCTCAGCAAAATGGATGTGGACCGGAGGCAGATGTCAATGGCTTAGCTCCCTGCCAGTCCACTTCAAAGGACAGCAAGCAGCCAGAGCAGCCATGGCACAGCGTCAGACGGCTTGTCCCAACCTGCACATATGTGGGGTGGAGCAGGGCAGGTTTGGGTCCAGGTCCCATGTGCGCACTGACAGTCCGGATGGGCAGTGCAGATCTGACCCTTTTGTGCCTTTCAAAAGTATGATAACGCCTGCTCCCAGTCTGTGGTCATAGTGAAGGAGATGAGGCTTTGATGTTTAGTATGACCAAAGCTTTACAGTTCCAAAGTTTATTGGAACTGTAATTAGTTCTGTACTGTAGGAATTAGTTCTGTACTGTTGCTCAAGGGCTATGGCAGCACCTGTTCTTGACAGATTTATGTTTAGATGGCAAGTTACAGATATGCAACTCCAGTGGCAATAAAAAAAAAGTCAAGAAGAGAGATGAATTCCTGCATCTCTCTACTTGCTAAAGGGAACACAGCTTTTTTCAGAAACTATTCAGTTCCTTTGGGGATAAGAGGTAGACATTAGAGAAGTCTTCCCTATTCATCATGACTGAACCCCTTGATTTTTAATGGTTCTCCCTCATCATGGGCTGACACGTGAGGGAGCATTAGGAGCTCTCAGCGGCTGCACCAGCTGTACAGACCTAGGGTGCACCAGCCCATCTGTCAGGCCTGCAAGGATACAGTCTTCTCTGAGCTGGAGGGCTCCTCTCCAAATAGGAGAGGTGAGAGTCAACTGAGGTCTGAGGAAGGACTTGAGGAGGCACCAGGTGGCTGGTCACAAGGCAGGACAAGATATAAAGATCTCCTGATGGACATGGCTGGTGCCATTCCCCCAGTGCATAGATGTCTAATCTCCACCTGGAGACCTGCATTAGCACTGTCAGGGGGGAAGGCTGAGGCATTTGCTGGCACACTGATATACCTGTGCCACAGACTCATAAAGGATGCCATCTGCATGTGGGACAACCTGCTGGTACTCCAGAGGAGCCTCAGTGCCTCTGGAGAAAGGAAGATTTTTCCCTCTGTAGAGGAGGACTGGGTTAGAGAGCACTTGGCCAAACTAGACATCCATGAGTCCATGGGCCCAGATGGGACGCACCCGTTGAGTGCTGAGAGAACTAGCAGATGTTATTGCTGGGCCACTCTCTATCAAGTTCGAAAGGTCATGGAGAATAAGAGAGGTGCCTGAGGACTGGAGAAAGGCAAATATCACTCCAGTGATCAAAAAGGGCAAGATGGAGGACCTGGGAAACTACAGGCCAGTTAGCCTCACCTCTGTCCCTGGGAAGGTAATGGAGCGATTCATTCTGGATGTTATCTCCGAACACGTTGAAGACCAGGAAGTTAGTGGAAGTGGTCAACATGGATTTACCATGGGTAAATCATGCTTGACCAATCTGATAGCCTTCTATGATGTTATAACTGGATGGCTGGATGAGGGGAGAGCAGCAGATGTCATCTACCTTGACTTCAGCAAGGCTTTTGACACTGTCTCCCATAACATCCTCATTAGGAAATTAAGGAAGTGTGGGCTAGACGAGGGGGCAGTGAGGTGGATTGAGAGCTGGCTGTGTGACAGGACTCAGAGGATTGTAATTAATGAAGCAAAGTCAAGTTGGAGGCCTGTAACCAGTGGAGTCCCCCAGGGGTCAATATTTGGTCCAGTCTTGTTCAACATATTCATCACTGACCTGGACGAGGGGACAGAGTGTATCCTCAGCAAGTTGGGTGATGATACCAAACTGGGAGGGCTGGCTCACACTCCAGAGGGCTGTGCCGCCATCCAGTGTGACCTGGACAGGCTGGAGAGCTGGGCAGAGAAGAACCTCATGAGGTTCAATAAAGGCAAATGTAGGGTCCTGCAGCTGGGGAGGAAGAATACCAGACACCAATATAGATTAGGGGTGGACCTGCTGGAAAGCACTTCTGAGGAGAATGATCTGGGGGTCCTGCTGGAGAGTAAACTATCCATGAGCCAGCAATGGGCCCTTGTGGCCAAGAGGGCCAATGGAATCCTGGGCTGCATAGGAAAGAGTGTGGCCAGTAGGTCGAGGGAGGTCATTCTCCCCCTCTGCTCCACACTGGTGAGGCCACAACTGGAATACTGCATCCAGTTCTGGGCTCCCCAGTTCAAGAGAGACAGGGAACTACTGGAGAGAGTGCAGCATAGGGCAACAAAGATGATTAAGGGATTGGAACACCTTCCTGATGAGGAAAGGCTGAGAGACCTGGGACTCTTTAGCCTGGAGAAGAGAAGGCCGAGGGGAGACCTTATTAATACTTATAAGTACCTGAAGGATGGGCTGAAGGATGGAGCCAGACTCTTTTCAGTGGTTCCCAGTGACAGGATGAGGGGCAATGGGCACAAGCTGGAACATAGGAAGTTCCACTCAAATATGAGGATGTACTTCTTTACGGTGAGGGTGACAGAGCACTGGAACAGGCTGCCCAGGGAGGTTGTGCAGTTCCTTCTCTGGAGATCTTCAAGACCTGTTTGGATACAGTCCTGAATAATGTGCTATAGGCAGTCCTGCTTTGGCAGGGGAGTTAGACTAGATGATCTCTAGAAGGTCCCTTCCAACTCCAACAACTCCATGATTCCATGACGCCTACAGGGGACCTGCAGGCACATGTCTGAATCCAGCATGATCCAAGGAGAAAATATAGCCAAAAGGCTGCATAATCTTTCCATCCCATCTATTGTCCTCTCCATCTCAATGTCTCCACAGCTCCCAACCTGTCAATCTTTCCCCTAAAGAATGCATTTCCCAGTTCTCCCTCCAACAGAAGAAAGCTTTGGAAGGCTTTGACTGAAGTGGCTTTGGTATTTGATTTCTTGCTGGTTTTCACTGCAGTTTTGTTAGGTCTTCACTGAGCAAAAATCTGGTGCACCCTCACTGCCCATGACCAAACTTCTGTGCTCCACAGCATCTGTTTTTTGGGGCCTGTGCTAACACCTCCATGTGAGAGTGTGCTGGGCTATTTATGCAGTCCCCTGCTTGGGGAGAACTTCAGGGCACGGCTCTGCATAAGGCTTCACTGAACTCCCTAGTCATACATTTCAGTTTTTTGTTATCCAAGTCACTTTTGAATGTGGAAATCTAACTCCATGGTCAGGCAAAGATCTTTGAAAAATTTACCCTCCTTTCTCATTCTTGGATGTTGATCTTGAAGCACAGGAGTGGGAGACATACCAGAAACGTCATTTCTATAGCAGAATAGCAGGGAGCACATCCAGCACCCAAGGAAAGCTCAGGCCAAGGGGTTACCATCGGACATGAGGCCTGTTGACTTCCCCTTGATGAAGCAGAGGGAAGTGGATTGAAAAAGATACCCTGTTCGCAATCTAAGAGTACAAACCACAGGCAGCTGCGTGATGCAGACTCACAAGGACTGCCCAAGGAAAGCATGACTTTGAAGGAACCTTTAAGAGATTGCACTGGGGATTGAACAAGACATCCAAAACAGAAGGTATCTTCCCAATCCTTTTTGAAGTCTATCCATCACCACTGATAGAGTCATGAATTATTCACAGAGTCTTCAAGGGTATCCAGTTTAGCTTGCAACATGCTGCCCATTTGTCTGGGATCTGAGATTTCACGCATGTTGGAAGCACATCGAAGAGCCTCAAGGGTGCTGCTGAATTAAGCAAATGTCCTACCCACCTCAGAAAGGGGCACTTTGTCTGAAAGCAGCCAAAACTATCTCAGGTGCACATCTGCAAGAGGTCAGCCTAGGCTGGAACTTCAGTGTCACTGAAGCTGCTTGCCATTA